CTCTTTGTTTGCAGTCATTTGTGCCACTCTCTCCAGCGAGTTCTAGGTCTGGGTTCTTATCATAGATTTCCACCATGATCTCCATAGTCCCAGCTCTTGGCTCACCAGTTTTTACCTCCGGTGATACCGTGCTGAGGCTGCACTGTTGTCTGTACAACCTTTCTCCCATTCCCAGTTGGAGTAGGTCCCTGGACTAGGGAGACACTAGGTGTCCTATATAGCTAGGGTGTTGGTGGTAGCAATCTTGCAGGAATCTGTTGGCTGTTAGGTCTGAGGGCCACATGGATCTATTTTGACCTATACGATGCCAAAGTCGGTATTATTTTCCTGCGAGCCCAGTGCACTGAGCTAAGTTGCTCCCAGCTCATCGCATGTGCAGCTCACTGTTGTCCCTGCAGTCTTAAAGCCTTTGCCACACCGTACAAAATTGCACTGATGAGTTCACTAGAACTAGTAGAGTTCTGCTGGCCGTCAGGTCTGAGGGCTACCCAGACCTGTCTTGGGTGGAACGTGTAGGATGCCACGTTGTTGCAGGTCACTGAGCCCAAAATGAGAATGAGTTCACTCTCAGCTCAGCACATGCACAGTCCCTCCCCTAGCCTTTGCCTTCTTAAACAAAATGGCACACAAATCAGCTCTAGGGGGCAGACTGGGCTGTGAAATCCACCAGGTTCCTGCATTGCCTGGGATCTGCTGCTCTGTCTCTGCTCCTGATCAAATCAAACAGACCAGCAGGATGGGCTGTTTCTTTGTCTGGGTTCACCTCCTGAGCTCCCGGGGAAATGTCCTTTCCCACCTTGTTGCTGGTGGAGTTATGGCTGCTGGTGTAGTTCAGATTGTCACTAGCTGAATGAAGTTGAACATTTTGATCGAATTAATCAGCCATTTGTATTTATGATTTTATGTATTTGCCTGTTTATGCCTGTTGACTTTTTGGATTGTTAACCTGGCTGTAATGCTGACATTGCTTGTATCTGTTCAAATTCCAGCAGCTCTACTTCTGATCCAGCTCCCTGCTAATGTGCCTTGGAAAAGTATCAGTACATGCCTCCCTAGCCCCATGTGGAGACCCAGCCCTAACCATTGTAGTCATGTGGGAAGTCTTTCTAGCTTGCATTTCAAATATATAAATGTGTCTTTTTAAAAAAGAAATTAACCTTTTATTTTAAACAGGAAATGTTTTGCTGTTTGTGTTCTTATTAGTGCTCCTCATGTGGTAATTTAAAAATTTCATTTTCCACTTTCCCAGAGAATCTAATAAAACTCATCTGCATTTCAATGCTACCTATTTATATAATAGTCATTTTACATTTTAAACTTTAAATCTTCAATTTATGCATTTATTTTTGTATCATGATATTATTTTTCCAACTGTTACTCAGTCATTCTAGCACTGTTTTTCTTTGAAATTTTACCTCAATCCTTTCTTACATTTACTAGAATTGATTTTAACTTTTTATTTCATCCCTTGATAATAATTTATTCTATAGTCTGCATTTTAATTATTTAGGACAGCAAGTTTTTTCCCTGGCTATTCTTTTTCAGAAATGTTTTGAATTGTTTTTGGCTTTTTGGCTAAGATGAAGAGCAGATATATCCTGGCTACTCTTCTGTTTCTGGCTTTTAAATAATTTTTAAAGTTATTTTTCTTGCTCAAAATCTATTTGAGAGGCATAGAGGAAATCTTCCCATACACTGGTTTATTCCAGATGCCTGCCAGAGCTAGGGCTGTGCCAGGCTAAAGACAGAAGCAGAACCTCCATTCAGGTTTCCTCAGAGCTTGGGGCATCTTCCACTGACATACCAGGACCATGAGCAGGCAACCAGATCTGTCCAGGTGCATCCTGTATGTCAGCACTGTGACATGAGATGCCAGTGTAACAAGCTGTGGCTTCAACCAGAGAATAAACTCAGACTTGTTTCAAAACTGAAGAGAAGCTCTGGTGCACTAGCCTCATGGCTAAAGTGTTTGCCTTGCACGTGCTAGGATCCCATATGGGCACCATTTAGTGTCTCGGCCGCTCCACTTCCCATCCAGCTCCCTGCTTGTGCCATAGGAAGGCAGTCAAGGACGGCTCAAAGCCTTGAGATCCTGCACCAGCATGGGAGACCTAGAAGAAACTCCTGGCTCTTATCTTTGGGTCAGCTCAGCTCTGGCCATTGTGGCCACTTGGGGAGTCAATCAGAGGACAGAAAATCTTTCTCTTTGTCTTTCCATGTCTCTGTAAATATTAGTAGTTCCTTCTCTGTAAGAAGCAACTATTAAATCACAGAAGCAACTATTTTATTTTTAAAAAGTTGAAATTCTAATATTATAAGGAAAAGAAACTGATAATTTTAAAAACACTGGACTCAGTTTAAGGAAGCACTTATTTAAAGATGGATAGTATCCTCACAAACTCATTGATAGCTGCGATAGAAATGTACAATTAAACATCTGGTGTTGGTGCCAGCAGTTAGTCCCAGGTCATCCTACCTGGTTTCCATGCCCACCACTGGCTCCTAACTCCCGCTTCCTAGCAATGCAGACCCGGAGATGGTAGTGACAGCTCAAGGACCTGGGTTTCTGTCACTGATGTGGGAGACCTGGCCTCTGTAATGATCAGCATTTCGAAAAGGAAGCAGAGAATGTAAACTTTTTCTCTTTTCTCTCTCCACTTCAGGTAGATACTACATGTTTTTAATTTATCCATTTTTCATTTATTAGCTTGTCAGAGACACAGAGATCTTCCACTCACTGGTTCATTCCCTAAAAGCCCAGGGCTGGGCCCGCCAGGCTGAAGCCAGGAGCTCAGAGGTCAACTTGGGGCACGCCCTGAGTGCCAGGCCCCCTGGTACTGGAGCCGTCACCCACCACCTTCAGGGTGCGCATTACCAGGAGACTGGATTGGATGCAGACCTGGGACTTGAACTCCAGCACTCTGATATGCTGAGCCAAGTGCTTACCTGAATAAATTAAAGATCTGTAAAGAATCTTGTACTTGAAATGTGGCTTGTCTCAGAGGTAATGAACTTATTTATTTTAAAAGATTGATTGATTTGAGAAGCAGAGTGACTGGGAGAGACAAAAGTCTTCCATCCAGTGTGACAAGTCTGGGTCAGGTTGATATAGGGAACTCCATTCTTGCCTCTATTGGGGGCAGAAATCCAAGCACGAGGCTCATGTTCCCAGGCCATGAGCAGGGAGCTGCATGGGAAGTGAGTTATGCAGGTTCAGTCTGGTGTTGGTCTGTTTATGTTTGTCTATATGGAGAAATTCATGGCAAGAGTGTATTACTATTATAATGGTCATGTTCTGAGATCTTAACAGTGCAACAGTTCAGCTGGAACGTCATTACAAATGAGTCATCTCAAGCACCCTCTTCAAGTACCCTCATCCAGGTAAACAAGTATGGGTAACTGGTGAAGGATTTTCGTGAGGTACTAGATAACATCCTTGGTCCTAACAACTAGCACCATTTTGTTTTGTCGTTTTCTTTTTTGACTAATTTTGGCCAGAAAAGTGTGTTCTGTGTCTTGGGATCTGGTTGGGCCCGGTGTGGTGGCCTAGTGGCTAAAGTCCTCTCCTTGCACGTGGGGATCCCATATGAGTGCCAGTTCTAAGCTGGGCTGCCCTGCTTCCCTTCCAGCTCCCTGCCTGTGGCCTGGGAAAGCAGTGGAGGATGGCCCAAAGCTTTGGGACCCTGCACCCGCGTGGGAGACCTGGAAGAGGCTCCTGGCTTCGGATCGGCATAGTATCGGCATAGCATTGGCCGTTGCACTCACTTGGGGAGTGAATCATCGGATGGAAGATCTTCCTCTCTGTCTCTCCTCTCTGTATATCCGCCTTTCCAATAAAAAAATAATAAAAATAAATCTTTAAAAAAAAATAAAATAAAAAAGCCCTTCGGTTGAGATTCCCAGCTACCAAACTCTGGCACCCCAGACTTCTGCAAACAAAGGGAGGCTTGGGAGCTTTTCCTGTGAATGTTAGGCCAGACCCACTGAATCAAACGCTGAACTGTTACAGTTCCAGTAAAGCCACCGCTCAGTAGCTCAGAATTGTCAGTTCCAGTGTTTCAAGTCTACACTGTGCAGGGTAGTCAGATTTAGGAAAAATGATACAGGATCTGGAGAATAAGAACCGAATTACAAACCTGCACGATCATAATGATCTGCCTTTAACTGTGTGTGTGTGTGAGTGCAGTATATTCAACATTTTTCAAGGTGTTTTCACACCTTTATTTTCTCCTTGGAACAGCACTGTGATGAAGAAGCAAATTAGTTTCAGCAAAACTATTTTTAAAGTTAAATACTGATCCTATGAGGGGGAAAAAAAAGGGGGGGAGGGTGCACTGACCGAACTGAGCAATGAGAGGGCAGAGAGCAGCGGCCCGGGGGCGGCCCGGCCGACCTGGGGACCCCGGCTTCAGGGGCTACACCAGAGCAAAGGCAGCAGGGCAGGAAGCCCAGTGCACACCCAGCTACAAGGCGGACGAGCTCCAGAGAAAAGATGAACTCAGGCGGCCCTGGGAGGTGCCTGTGCTGGTTTTGTGCAAGCTGAAAGGGCGTGATCTTTGGCCGAGCGTGGCATCTCCATCAGCCTCCAGGCAGCCCGCACGAGCCTCCGGGGCCTCCAGGGGGTTCGGGTCCGGGGAGGAGCCCAGGGCGCCGGCGGGAAGGCGGCGGGGGGCGGCTCGGGAGGCGCGCTCCCGCCCGGCTAACAAAGGCCGCCGAGCGGGACTCGCCGGGTGCCCAGCGTGTCCGGGGCCCAAGGGTTAACCGCGCCCGACGCCCGCGCGCATCCCGGCCCCCGCCCGCGCCGTCGCTAGGAGACGCCGGAAGTGGGGGCGGGGCCGGGGGCGCGGGCGTCGGGGCCGGGGGCGCGCGTGCGCGTGCGCGTGCCCGGCCGGCCGTCGCCGCGGTGACCGGCCTCGCAGCCCGCGCCCCGCCCCCGGCCCCGCCGCCCCCCGGCCCCGGCGCGCGCGCGCTGGGGGTGTTGCTGGCTCCTCCCGAGTTCCCGCCGCGGTCGCCGCCGCTCCTCCTCTCCACCCTCCACCCCCCACAGTCTTGGGTTTCCCTGGCGTTGCTGCCGCCGCTACCTCTGCGGGCTGCATGAAGAGGAGGAGGAGGAGGAGGATGTGAAGATGGCGGAGCTGCAGATGCTGCTGGAAGAGGAAATCCCGGGGGGCCGCCGGGCCCTCTTCGACAGTTACACGAATCTGGAGCGAGTGGCTGATTACTGCGAGAACAACTACATCCAGGTGCGACGCATTCGCCGGCTGGGGCGCGTCGGGTCCCGGGGCTGGCGAGCGGCGCTCGGGCGACTCCCGGCGCTCGGGACCGCGCGCCTCAGGGGGCTCACCGGGCCGAGGCCGCGGGCGCGGTGGGGACCCTGCCCGGCCGGGGAACGGGGCCCGGGCTGGGGCTCGGCTTGGGGCTGCTCCTGGGGGAGGCTGCAGGAAACGGCATTCGTAGAACCTTCCTAAAAGCCGCGAGGCGGTCCCCGGTGCGGTGCGAGGGGCGGTCGTGTCCCACCTCCTCGCCTCTCCTGCCGGCGGCCGCCCCCGCACGCCTTGCCATTCAGGGTCCGGGATGGCGGAGGCGGCGAAGGGTGGCATTTCTGAGCGAACGGAATCCTGCCTCTTCCTATGGGGGGATGGATGGCTTTTCTTCAACCCCCCCCCACTCCTTTCCGACCCCCAAATTCCGGGAGATTCAGCTATGTAACTGCCAAGTGAAGAGCTTCAAAACCCCCTTAAGTACACACATCCGTATATATTTTTATGTATTTTTATTATTCTGAACGGCTGGGATTTAACAGCAGTTGCCTCTAGTTGGAAGTTAATGCCGTTTTCTCCCCGTGGAGAATGGGCTTCCTTCCATTAACATGACTTAACTCGTCTTCTTGAGTCCCGTTAGAATAGGTAATTTTCCTTTGGGGAAACAGCTGTGGGTTTTTTAGAGCGAATTAGGAAAATGAGCCTCATGGTTGGATCTCCCCCTCCACCCCCCGCGATGGTTGCTTTGGCACAGGCACACATAGTGGCAGCGGTGTGCGTGCGTGCGTGTGCGTGTGCGGTGGGCCGCGCGCGGGGGGTGAGGGATCCTGGGGAGATGAGATTCAGCTGCCCTCGGATGCAGTGAGACGTTGTGTGGGTTGAAACAGTCCCGGTTTAAAAATTGCTTGCAAGGGTAGCCGGCTAAAACCACACTTGACAAATGCAGCATCTTTTCCTTATCCGAATTACAGGCTCCGCCTCCGTTTTTCCCCTTTCTTTGCCCATTTTAATTCTCTGGGGAAAAGGTGGAAAAGGAAGCAGTCTGTTAAGCTGTTTCCTTATGGTGTTTTTTTTTTCCCTCTCCTCGCTTCCACTGCACCTCTGCGGGCATCCGCACATGGCTTCTACTGGAAGGCGTTCTTAAGTGTCAGTGAAAATTGTAAAGAAAATTAGATAGTAACTGGTTGGCTCATAAATTTTGTTAGGACCTCATGGCTAACCAGGTATGCTGTTGTGAGGTTTTTCTTGATTATCCTGAAGGGAACATTTGTGTTGGACAAAGAACTAGGTGGGATCCAAGTCTTTCCCTTTAGAGAGGCAGGTGGAAGTCTTGGCTAGAAGGAAGAGAATGTCTTGGGTTGAAGATTAAAGAAAAAGTACAGATGTCAGTGTTGGCTAGATGCCTCGCTGGGACTGAGTTGGGTAGGAGAGATTGCAAGGTTCAGTTGGCGAGGACTTTTTTTTTAGTGTTTTGCTAGATGTGTTTGAATGTGTCGCGTGGCCCGGAACTGTGTATGTAGGGTTTATGATAGATGCCTCTAGTCTCCAGTTTCATGGTCTAGTAAGTAGGAGAGGCTGATCCGCAAGCAAATGCAAATCATGGACAGGTGAGCCCGTCTATCCAGATTGAGACTGTTCTGAGAAAAAGGTGGGTCTCTGTTGCACATGTGTGGATGTTTCTCGTGGTTATTTGTTAAGCAGTAAAACAGCTCTTACGGGTCACATGGCTCAGCTATGTAAACGGTGCCGAGATGATCCAGGGTACCCTGGAGGAGGTGATGTGCACGTGCAAGTACTAGGCCACTTGATGTGAGATACTTGAACTCCTCTTTGGATTCTGGTGTCTATGAAGGTTCTGGAACCTGTCTCTGGAGGTTAAGGAGCTACAGCTGTGATTAGTTTGTAGCCGCTTGCATGTAGGTTAGGCAAAACCTAGATGCTTGAAGCTGCAGCACAGTGCAGTATACGCTGGGCAAGAGTGGGAGGTCAGAGAAACTGAGGATGGAAAGTGATTGGATGGCAGCTGCTGTCAGTAAGCAGTGCACTTACCTGCCTTTGGAAGGTGATTTGTAGTGTTGTTTGAAGGTATGGCTCCCCTGAGCAGTTAGGTAGAAGTGGGCCCATTGGAAGACTGCTGGTGGCAGGAGTTGTCTTGTGCGTGCCTGTTTCCTCCAGGTGAAAAGAGGCATGGCTGTTGCTACCAGTGGGCTTTAGGAATGGGTGCAGTGTTTACTGTGGCAGAATTTTGAAATGTAAAGTATGCATATGGATTTAACAAATGGAATTGAATTGCAGGATGTCCTGTTTTTTCAAATTAGTGTCTGAAGTAGAATTTTTTTCCGCTTGACTTCTCAGATTATCATCTATTTTAGGATGTGGTGGACCTATCATTGGTGCACCCTCTCGGGATGATAGAGCTCACATGACTGGTTTGTGGTGAAGTTGGTGAGTTGATCGTAGTGATAGTGGATTTGTGCTGATCCAGCTGTACGTTTGGCTGCCTGTCTTTGTCCGCAGAGAACTGACCGGCAGAGGTTTTTTGCTTTTATGCTGCCTGTGACCGTGTAATAGAGGAAAGTTAATTGGCAGGATCAGCTATCAGATAGTCAATTTAGCTTCACTAAAGCCATCAGTCACTAGCATGAGCTGTCTAACTCAGGGCTTATTTCATTTGGTTGGAAATGTAGTTTTTGCTTATAAAGCAGGGAAAAGATGTGCTGATCACGTGTAATAGGTAATAACTGTTTTTGCTCAGTGTTCTTGGAAACTAATTTTATGCCTAGGAATATAAAAAATTAAGGCAAGGAAGAATAAATGTGGACTATATTTAGTGTGAAAATTGATCAGAGAAAGGGAAATGAGAATGGTTGTATTCTGTTGAAATCATTTTTCTTAGGTACTTTGTAGAAATGCCACTGACAGTAGCACTGATTTATTTTAAGGACTTATTTTTAATTGAAAGAGAGAGGAGAGACAGAGATCTACTATCTTCTGTCTGCTGGTTCGCTCCCCAAATTGCAGCAGTGGCCAGAGGAGGGACAGTCCAAAGCCAGGATCCTGGATTGACCTCTGGGCCCAGAACTTGGACCATCTTCTGCTGTTTTCCCAGGCCCGTTGCAGGGAAGTGCAGCAGCTGGGACTCAAACCGGCACCATTGTGGGATGCTGGCACTTGAAGGTGGAGAATTAGTCTGTAAGAGGCTGCCACGGTGCTGCCCCCTGGACAGTTTTATTTTTTTATTTAAAAGATAGATTTACTATGTATTTTTTTTTCCTAATCAGAAAGGCACATTTATATAGAGAAGGAAAGAAAATTTCCATCCTCTGGTTCGCTTTCCAAATGGCCACAGTGGCTGGAACTGAGCTGATCTGAAGCCAGGAGCTTCTTCCAGGTCTTCTACCTGGATGCAGGGTCTGAAGACTTTGGGCCATCCTCTCCTGCCTTCCCAAGCCGTAAGCAGCGAGCTGGATCAGAAGTGGATCAGTTGGGCTTGAATCCATATGGGGTGCTGACATTGTGTGGGGTGGCTTTACCTGCAGGGCCACAACTTTCGTCCCTAGACAATTTTAGTATTTGAAAATAAAGCAGTAAGTCCAACTCCCCCATCCTCAAAATGTAATAATAATAAAAAATGTGTTTTGCTGATATTTCTAAAATAGGTTTTATTTCTTGCCTGTAATAACAGCTTAGTGAATGGTGAAGACTTTTTTTTTGGAGGCATGTAACACCTGTGTGCTAGTCTCTTAGGAAATGTTCAGGAATTAAATAAATTCTTTTTGGTTAACTTGGAATCCACACATTTCTGAAGGAACATAGTTTCATTTAGTCTCTTGGTTAACTTAAAATTTACAAATAGAAGGATTTTTTAAAGATTTATTTTTATTGCAAAGTCAGATTTACAGAGGGAAGGAGAGACAGAGAGGAAGATCTTCCATCTGCTGGTTCACTCCTCAAGTGGCCGCAAAGGCCAGAGCTGAACTGATTTGAAGCCAGGAGCCGGGAGCTTCTTCTGGGTCTCCTATGCAGGTGCAGGGTCCCAAGACTTTGGGCTGTTCTTCACTGCTTTCCCAGGCCACAGGCAGGGAACTGGATGGGAAGTGGAATAGCCAGGATACAAACTGGCACATGAAAGGCAAGGATTTAGCCACTAGGCTATCACAGGTTCCATGAGACAGCCCTTTTCAACCTAGTTGCAAGTCTGGTTCTTTTAGCTCCGTACCGACCCCCTTACACATTGAGAATCATATGCTGGGTGCCTTCCCCTCACCAGTCCCTCTGGCTTGATTAATTTGCTAGAAAAGTTTATAGAACTCTGGGCAACACATACTTAGATACATTGGATTGGCCTACCAGTTAAAGCATCTGTGTGCTCTGTCAGATTACCTGGGGTTGACTTCTGACTCCAGCTTCCTGACAGTGCAGACCTTGGAAAGAAATAGTAATGATTCATATGATGCTTCCTGCTGTCCCCATCAGAAAATTGGGATTGAGTCCTTAGTCCTGGTTTTGGTCCAGCCCTGGCCTTTATGGGCATTAGTGAGTGAACCAGCCTTCAATGGGATCTGCCTCTGTCTGCCTGCTTCTCTATGGAATAAAGGAAAAATAAAAAATGGAAATAAGCAACCAATAGGTCTGGAAGGATCCTTCCACGGTATGCTATCCTCTCAGGATGTGGATGTGTTTCTAGAAGACTCTGTTTTCAGCTGCCCCAAAATCCTTTGGGTTACTTCCTTATCAGATTTATGGAGATTTCATTGCATAGGCATGACTGAAACATAGGCAGTATGTTGAGATGGGGTTGGGTGAGAGAATATGATTCAGTGTTTAGAAACTGGGGAAAACGCTGAAAACCTGCTTGCCTTGTAGGCATCAGATAGATGTCCTCCTGAAATGGGAGTCTTTTTAAAAATATATGAAACCTTTAGTTACAGGGGGAGATGAGTAGAGATAAGATCTTCCATCTACTGCATCACTCCCCAAGT